CCTTGCAGGGTTATAATTGGGATTTAATGAGAAAATGCACATAAAGCCCTAGTGTGGTGTTTGGCACATAGTAACTGCTCAGTAAACAGTACCTGCTATTTGTTATTTCAGTAGAGCTCCAATTTCACAAGCTCCCTGAAGGTTCTTACAAGTATCTTCTTGGGACAGCCCATAGGAGTTAAATCCAGTGACTTCTGGGAGGAGGGTGAGGGATCAGGAGGGCTGATGGCGGAGCGCCTGCTGGGCAGGCAGGCATGGGGTGGCCAGCCTGGAATGTCTCCAGGTAGGCAGCAGCCCACGTACCAGTCTGCTCCATCCCAGCCTTGCCCAGCCCTGGGGAGACCTGAGCCAAACTCCCTCAGGTGGGTCTCTGGATAGCACTAGGAGAAAAGAGCTGGAAGGGGGATCTGGCTCAGGGCCCCTACTTGGGGGTATTGGAGAAGTAGCCCCCACTTTAGCTCAAGTCTGCCTCCTGGATCCCACCCTACTGGGCTCCGGAGAGTGTCTCTCCACTGAGAAACAGGACGTTCAGGATCAAGGGTGAGGATCAGCTCCCTTTTTACAAATGGAGGTGTCTGACATTCCTTAGCCTGCACAGGCGGGGCAGTCCTGTGGGTGAAATGGAGCTACATCGGGGCGGGAGGGCAGGTCAGTGGCAGCCAAGCCTTCCATACCTCCCCTCAGGTGAGGAGAGGGTCCCTTCAGTCTAGAGCTGTGGCCACTCGCCAGTGGCCTGAGCTCCTGGTCACTTCCCAGCCTGCCTTAAGGACAATGGCCCCATTTCCCCAGTCACACGTCACCCCAGGCAGGGCCAACTCTCTCCATCCTGGCTTCCTTGAAGAGCTGGCACCAGACACAAGCTTATGTCTCCAGAGTGCCCTGGAATGGACTGAGCTTCCTCCCAGGGCAGCCTGGTTCCTTAGCCCCAGCACACCTTCTACGCCCCCCCACACACACACACAAGAATAGCCAGGCCCCCCCCTTCCCCCACCCCATCTCCTCACCCACCCTGTGGTTGGGGCTAATTCCTTTGTGTGAGGCTGCAGGGCGTATAAACAAGAGCCCTCCTGGGCTGGGGCTGGGCTGGGGCTGGGCAGTCTGGGGAGGTGAGGGTCACTGCCATTGTCTCAGCCACCTGGTAGTCTCCCTGCTCCTCCTGCCCGCCCCTTGCTGGAAGCAGCCTGGCCCTTTTCTATAAGGCTCCTCACCATGGCACCGGCCAGGGAGGGGCCAGGCCCAGTGGGGCGTTGGCCCCCCAGCCATCCTCCCGGAGCAGGAGCAGGGAGCGGCCCTGGGCCTGATCCCCAGAGACAGTCACTGGGATTAGGGTATCGACTTTCCCCAGCTTTCCAGGTGGCTGCTGGTGGTGCCTATTGAATTCCGTGCCCGCTGTCCGCTCCCTGGGCTGCGTGGGTGGAGGTGACTGGGCGGCCACTTGGGGTGGGGCTGGGCTCCCTGGGGGAGAGGAGGGGCTGGAGGAGGGCAGCCTCGGCAGGCCTGGAATAGGATTTGGAACAGCCAGAGAACCTGAGAGTGGGGAGAAGGCCCCAGGAGCCTGGAGGCAGCTCTCCTGGCAGGGTCTTTTCCAGAAAGTGGGTCTGGTGTTTTCTGGAAGTGAGCAACTCAGACTCATCCAGCCCCCGCCACTCCAGCCCGTTTGCGTTGCCATTTGCTTTGCCCGTGGGCCAGCACTGCCTCTCGCTCCGCCTCTTGCTTCCCATTCCCCACCAGGCTCCTCGCTGAGCAGACCCCGACTTTACTCTGCGCTTCCTCCCCACTGGGAGTCCTGCCTGAGGCTCTGAGCACCCTGGGGCCATGCTCCCCTTGTAGCGACCCCTTACCCCAGCTCTAAACCCCTCAAACGCTGGCACGAGGCTCCTCCTGACCTCCTTGGGCCACCAGCAGGCCCATGATGGCCTGAACTTGCCATTTACCCACTTCCCCAGGCTCTGCCCCAGTTCTGGATGCAGGCCCAGGAGCAGTGGTGTCCCAGCTTCTGGTACCTGACCCCTCCCTGTCTTCTTTTCTCAGTGCTGGGCCGGCCCCACAGACCCCAGGGAAGCGGCCCCCAGGGACTCCTGCTGTCAGCACCAGCCTCCACCCAGAACGGACTGGGCTGACTCAGCAGCTGGCGGTGACACCTCCCGGAGACAGCTGGGGGAGGGGCGGAGAGAAACAGGGCTGGTCTCCCTGGAAGAATGCTAGGCCCTCACCCCTTCCCGCCAAAGGGAAGGAGCCTGTGGGGGCTTGCGAAGGAGGATGCAAGATGGGGCTCTTTAGGTGTCTGAATACTTCAGAAAACTACCTGGGGTTCCTGTACCCCCGACCAGCCACCCCCAGAGGGCAATGAGCACGTCCCAGCGCAGGGGAAGGAAGCAGCAGGGCCCTGAGCCCCTAGATCCTCTATTTCTTCCATCTCGTGGCTTGGTGCTGGCCCTCTAGCTTTAAGGACAGGTCACCAGGCAAGGGGTGCTGGGGTGAAACTGAGGTTCAGTAGGAGAGCCCGCAGCACAGACACTTGGGGCTGGTAGTGCGGCTTTGCCAGCCAGAGAGCACCCAAGCTGCTCCCCTGCCCAGGTCCAGCCACAGCCCAGAACAGGCCTGCTCACTGTCCCTATCGTTGCCTGTCCCAAGCTCAGGCTTAGCTCTGGCTGCAAGAGATCTTTTGAGCATCCGGAAGGAAGGCTGTGGTTTCATCAGTACCCAAGCCCCTCCCAGCAGAGGCTGCAGGCACCTTAGGAAGAGCTAGTTCAGTGTTTGTGACGCCTGCTGAGGCCTCAGCTCCAAGGGGGCCTCCTCCCAGTGTGGATTTGTTCTTTAAGTGCCAGCCCAACAATGGTGGAAGGAACACAGGTTCCAAGTCAAACAGGGTTGGCATTCTGGCTCTGCTGTAAAACCGAGTGACATCAGGCAGGCAGTGGGCATGATATCAGGCAGGCTGTGGTCACGACATCTCGAGCCTCAGTTTCCCCATCTTGAAGATGGGGGTCACCAGCCCCATCCAGGTTGCTATGGAAGGCTGTTTGGAGTGAGGGGAGGCGGAGACATCAGAGCTGCCCCCTCCTTCCCCACGTTCTCTGGGCCACTGTGGAGCTGAGCCTGGCTGGGGCAGAAAGCTGAGCCTGCCCAGGTGGTGGCAGCTGGTCAGACCTGTTCTGCTCACCTGGCCCGGGGGAGGACCGGCTGGCAGCTTTGCGGAGGGATTAGCTTGAGGGGAGAAGAGCCTGTCTTACACCCGGAACAAGATCCCAGAGGGTTGTGCTGGCCGGATACGCAGGCATCAGCTGGGCGAGCTGGTGTGGGCCCTGCTGGGAGGAACCGGAGGAGGAGAACTTGGGAGAAGGGGGGCCCCGGGGCGTCTAGCCCAGATTAGGGTACCCGCAGGCCCACCTGTCAATCATCCTTCCTGTCTTGGCCGCTCCACACTCCCCGTCAACATCCTGAAGCACAGAAAGATCCACCCAAGCATTGAAAGGAAGGCAGTCACCCTCTCCTGCCACGTTCACCACCCCCACCCCCACCCCCACCCCCGTGAGAGTGGAGGTGGGGACTCAGCCTGCCTCCTGGGGTTGGCAGGTTGGGACAGGACAGGTGGCTGTAAACCCTCCTTGCCTCCTCCACTCCCAGCTGGGGACTGGGGTTTCAGTGTAACCTGGCACCCCACCCAAAGCCCCAGAATCTCACTTTCATTTGACTGTTTGCTACCATTCACAACAGTGGGAAAGTCTGCGAGTGCACAGGGATTTCACACTTGTCAAGTGTCCCCTTGTATGTTAATTACCTCGCTGCCTCACAGCAACCCTGGGAGACAGGTGGCGCTTAAGAGTGGTCTCAGGGAGGAACCTGAGGCTCTGAAAAGGAAATTACTGCCCAGGTTACACAGTGAGGAAGCTGGAATCTGGGCCAGGACCTTGACTCTAGCCCTTGCTCATGGCCTGGTGTCCAGGGGTGACCCAGAGCTCATCGGCTGGCTGCTGTGGTCCTTCCCCAGGCTTGGGAGGAGGGGGAGAAGGACCCCAAGTCAGTCGGGTGCTCTGGCTTTGGTTTCCTGCCCACTGACACCCGGATTCCCTCCGTCGTGTACTTGTGTCCCAGGGCTGCAGCCGCTAAGCTCAGCTGCTTAAGGTGGACCCAGGGTGGTGAGATTGTTCCAGCTGAGTGTCTGAGTGCACCTTGGGACCAGCAGGATCTCTGAGGTTCTGTTATTCTTGGCTAGACCAGTCTTCGTTCTGCCAGTGGGGTTCTTGTCCTGTCCAGGACCCCAGCTGTGCCTCCCCCTGGTCTGTGGTCATTGGCCCCCCGGCTCCCTTTGGATAGGCCACTTGACTTGGTCGGGGAGAGATGGGAGCCTGGGAAAGGCTTTACTGTAAACAGGTGACCAGCTTTCAGTAAACACTGGCCCCTCTCTGCTGCAGACAGGAGCCTGAACAGGGAAGGGGCCCTGAAAGCAGGGTGTGCTGAAGGGAGCCCAGGGTGGCTATGGCCATGGCCTGGACAGGGTGGCCTATGGAAAGGGCTCGGGCAGATTTCTCATGAGCACTCAGATACTCCACTGAAACAGTTTTCTGTACAGAGGCTAGGGTTCCCCATCCCATGTCTCAGGCACCCAGCCAGGCTGGCAGGTGTGCCACCTGTCACCCCCCAGGAGGGCCAGACTGCTACCTTGTCTTTCCTACCAATGGCTCAATCAAAATAACACAACCTTAGAATGTCACAGGGGAGGGACTTGAGCTAACTGTCCCCACTTCTCATTTGCCAGAAGAGGAAACTGAGGCTTGGAGAGCGGCCTTGTTGCCCAGGGTAACCCAGGCAGTTCCCTGCAAGGCAGGATCTCCATGCAGGTCCTCTGCCTCCCCAGCCAGCATTCTCTTGGTTGCTGGGTAGGATCTCAGCAGATTTGCCTGTTACCGGATCTTATGGGAGCTGGAGTCAGGCACAGGGCAGGGAGAGTGGGACCAAGGACACTGTGGAATGACATGGACCCTGCATTGTCCCCACAGCGTGAGCTTCGGCCTCGGCTCTGTGCCATGAAGAGGGGTCCCAATGGCTATGGCTTCAACCTGCATAGCGACAAGTCCAAGCCAGGCCAGTTCATCCGGTCAGTGGACCCAGACTCGCCTGCCGAGGCCTCGGGGCTCCAGGCCCAGGACCGTATCGTGGAGGTAATGCCTCTCACCTTCTCCCCAGGTCCCTCCTTCCTGACACCTCCCCACATGCACACAGCTGGGGC